GCGCGGTAAGTAAAATATGTAAGCACGAGCTTTTGATTCGAGAACAGCTTGGACCGGCTCGTTGAGCCAGGAATAGTTCGGACTGGTTTAGTGAACTGCTTCAAGTGATTCATTGAGAAGATTCACCTCAAAAGAACCATTCTTTCACATCGCGGGAATTTCTACAACTGCTGGAAACTCCCACTTCACACAGAGGGATTTTATATGATGTCATGACATAGGAGGCAAAACGCACACTGACACAGCGGTAATAACTTCCCAAGCAAGCAAGACCACCATCCATCCTGGTAAGGAAGACGAGCATTTTAATTTTTGTCTTGGCTATTTTGGGTAATATTTGGGGCATTTTGTCTGACTTCTCAAAGTTACAGCAAGGAAGTATTTGTTTTCCTTATTCAGCGAAACACAGTTTTCTCTATAAATTGATGAAAACACACCAGTGTCTTATTAAATAAATAAGAAATAGAAATAATTGTATTCTTAAGCCGATGTATTAACTTCCGGTATTGATGGCGTGGCTCCTGTGTGCTTTGGTTGTTTGTTTGTTTTAATAGTCAATCCTGGACATCCGTAGTGAAACATGTCTAGAATCGGCTTTCTTAAGATCTACTTCATCGGAACCGCGTTTTCTTTTCTGGTGGCTCTTTTTGGACTGGTTGATTCAGTCGGGGGTCTGATGTATTCTCAAGGACCCGACTGGGCAGACGACAGCTGGACGGAGAAGCATCCGACCGTGTCTCCATCACAGATTGCTGCTGCCAGCAACACCAAGCGCAACGGATCGACATGATCTTCTCCACTGCCATCGGTGGTGGCGAGTCTTTAATTGCACTAGGAGAAATAATAGCCTCGGTGTATTAGTTGCTGACCTACTAAAGCTTACTGTGGAATTATTTCCTCCTTTACACTACTGCGATCTGTGTCATATGTGAAATATGAGACATGAACATCAATAATGGCTAGTCGTTCTACAGCCATGTGAGGTGCCAACTCTTCACACTCATTACGTTTTTTGCTTTGTGATTCTGGTTTCTGCAAAGAACTTGTCTGACTTTATACGAAAAAGAGAACAAATTGAAGTGTAAAAATACTACAAACATGCTACATGAATTTGCTGGACTGCCATAAAATATTGAAATCCCCCTGTGGTGAAAATTGTTTTTGTAATGTTTTTAATGTTTGTTCCTTTTATATGCTTGCTGTTTATGAAGACAACAATAACACGGAGAATGTTAACATTTGTGTAACATGCTGTGTTGTTCACCATGAGAAACTGTGGCATTATGCATTTCCCCTTTTTCTTGCATTTTGGGTAAAGTGTGTCTGAAAGATTTCAGCCAGATATCTTTCAACTAGATAAGTTATGTTACTGAAATTCACTGCTATGTATTGAACTGAATAAAAATATCTACAGTTGCACTGTACGTCACTATAGCAGCCTGATTTTATGCTCTAATACTTTGCTAAAGTTTTCTCGTTTTCCATTTGAAATTTCCATTTGCCAAACTGTTGCTAGACTAATTTGTTATATTTTTGTTCAACTTTCAGCTTTTTTTTTAAATTTTTTTTTTTAGTTTGAGTGTTTTGTGACCGTAATTGTTTTAATAGGTAAAATGGTGTTAATGGTCCTGATTTTCCATTGAAATCCTCTCGTCTTTGCATAGTCATTCTTTCATGGATAGTGACATGTCTTTGCAAAGCTGAAGTTGCAGACTGGCAGCTTTGAAAAGAACCCTGACGTAGATGATTGAGCAATATTTACTTTCCGTAAAAGCCACGGCCCCACTTTCTCATCAGAGTTTTTTTTTTTTTTTCCATGTTACTGTCCTTTATTTTGCATATGTAGCACTTGGACGACAACAAAGAATCTAATGGCATGTAATTGTCATAGAGAAACTTTGAACGTCCACCCTGACAGGAAGATGTAGCTAAGAATAGTGCTTGTGTTTCCACCCACCCTCACAGATAGGAGTTCCTCTAAAGGATATTGGAAGAAAGAGTCTCTCCTACAGGGGCTGGTCATCTCAATACTGCTCAGTTAATGCTATTACTTTAATATATAGCCATATGCAGTAAAACAATATGGTCTGTAAGCAGTTGTTTGGAAAAAATTGTCTAGCTTGGAAATTTGTCTTTGGCTCCACCCCACAAGATGGAACATGACACAATACACATTACAAAAACGGAACTGCATACGTGCATTCACACTCTTACAGTGGCGTCCTCCTCTGGCTTTGTGCCCTGACGTTTGCGAATAAGATGCAGCATAACAAAATAAAGTAAAATCGAAAGGAGTGCTAGGAAAGAAATAATTTATGGATGTAGAAGAGTACAATAAAATACACAGTTCAACATATGAATAAAACAGCTCAGTTAAAAAAACAAAAACAAACCCAGATTATGTCATCTTATTATACAATAAACATGCAGCTTGTGTGGGTGCAATTATGCTTATTTTATTATTTGCTATTAAATTAGCAGTTTTCCTGTAACAACTCACAATTTTAAAAAAATTGGGGTAATCTAGTACATTTTAAATTTGCTTTAAAAAATAACCAAGGATTTGAGCATGTAACAATGTTTATCTAACCAATATGTTCATTGCTGCATCTCGTTTGGATGTTCAAAATTTCTGACAAATGAGGCAGAAATATTTTAAATACTGACATTTGCCTAAATTTTTACAGACTTCAACAGTTTTGAATGTAAATGTATAGCTCACGTTCCTCTTTTCCCTGTTTATCTCTGCGTTGAATTGCAAACTAATTATGTAGGTTTTGTCACATTGCACTCAAAAAAAAATGTAGGTTAAGTATATTATGTAATAACATATTTTATCATTATTATTATTACAATTATTTCTTGTAGTTATTATTATAACTATTATTTATTTTATATTTATTTTATTTAACCTGAATTAAAAAATGAAACTGTGGTCACATCTAATTTTTTCCCCCGAATCTTTTCTTCTCAATAGTACAATCCACTAAACGGACTGTAACTCTATCCTTCACAACCTCATTTTCCTTTGTGTTACATTAAATATGCTGTCTACTCTGACTAAAGTGTATTCGCCTCAACACCCCCAGACTTCCACAATTCTGAAAGCCGAAATCTATACATCTCATTCCTCTTTTCTCTATTTAGTTCAGTGGTTCAGTCTCATATGTTCTCCCTTTCACCCAGTCATTGCCCAGCCGAGCCAAATGCTGATATAGCGGCGACATGCTAATGTCGTCTCGTCTCTCAGTTGCCCCATTTAGTGAGACCAGCAAAACTGCACGCTGGTCACTAATGCGAATCTAAAGACCCCACCGATGGAAGACATCTCAGCCCTCATGTAGCTCAGGGCCACATGACTGCTGGCAGAGGGGAGGGGATGCTAGTCCACAGCAGGGAGTGGGCCTGCATTCCTGATGCCAGTGAGCATACTTGGCATTCCTGGCTTCTCCTAGTTGCTCTCAATGAGCCATTTGACTGGCGCTGAGGATTTTTTCCCCTCAGAGTGGCAGAGTCAGCTTCTGACGGATGAGAGTTGCTGCTCGGGAGAATAGGAGACCATTCATGCCATACTGGGATTAGAATGATGCCATTGAAATGTAACATTCACCATGGAAAATGTTGAAAAGTGCCATGAGTCATTTCAGTGTGATTTAGGCTGTTTTTGGATGGTCAAAGTCAAATAAGTACTAAAATACTGCACAAATATGTAGAAACACTAACAAAAAGAAGCAAAAGGTTCTATTCCTCTGTAAAGTGCTATGACTTCAGTGTGATTTAGATTTTTTTTTATTTTATTTTGGATGATCACAGTCAAAAGAGTACTAAAATATTGCATAAACATGTGGAAACAATAACAAAATAGTAGTGAAAATATATATTCCTCAGTATTTGTGTGCAATCTCTTGAATCAATTTTATTTGTCACAAAATGTGTTTTCTCGTCCCTGTCACTCATTATGGGGCAACCCTGTCAGATACACAAATGACATAAACGTTTTATAAATACTAAAAAATCTTACATTCACTGAAAGAAAACACTGGCATTGTTATTGTGTAATTTTATGCCATTTCCTGTAAATCATTTTAAAAGTCTCACCCTGTCAGGACATAGTAGCACTATTTCTTTTATAAAAAGAATAAAATAATTATTCTTACTTTAAGAATATTTAAGTAAGTGTGTGTATAATATTATATATCACTGTGTGTGTGTGTTCTCACCTATTTCTTTATCTCTTCTTTATCTTTATTACAGACTCAAGGTCCAAATTAAAAAGAGAAAAAAAAAACAAAAAAACAAGACAATAGGACAACATATACAACCCACAGCATCTACCACCACAATAAAAAGTTACAAAATACAACAATACCAATGTCTCCACAGCTTTGACTGATACCGTGTAGTACTAACCCTTATATTTGATAGACCCACAATAATCTCATTTTTTGAAGCATTTAGCCGGCAGATAAATCTATACATAAGATTTCGTAACAGTGCTTTAAAAGTGATTACTCTTGCACTCACAAACATTTGTATATAATGAGAGATAATTCCTATTCATATATAATTTAAATATATATGAAACTATGGACAGCTGGTGGAAGGGAAGTGACATGTTTTTGAAAATCAGAAAAAAAAAGAAAAAAACAGTAACTAAGAGTACCATGGTACTACTACCATGTTTTTTGGCTATGCAATCCTTGTAAGACTGTTTTTTATTTTTACATGTACCATAGTATTGTTGAACAGTTGAAGTACCATGGAATACCATGGTATGTTTGCAAGCAGCATGGTATTATCATCGGATACAGTCACTATACCTTGATACCACTACAGTAATTTTTCTGTATCTTGTACTGTAGGTACTGTACATACCTATCAACTCTGTCATGTCCATGTGCCACATTTAGCAGCGCTCGTTCCCCGTGCTTTAAACAGCACCGTTTCCCGTTACGCTCAATTGTAGGCAGAGCTGAGGAGCGTATGGTGCTGAAACCGAGGCTGTAACGTCATGCTCGACTCTAAACCTCACCCACCCTCCCAGAGGCGAGCAGCTCTTTCACAGGCACAGGCGCAGACGGACTGACTGGCTGGAGCTGTAGCGGATTGCCGTAAGTATCGCATTTGAGCAAGATTCTATGGGCATTGCAGTCGTAACGGCGCGTGTATTGCGCGGGAGCTGTGAGGGGATTATGATGTCACCGTTTGATTGATACATTGTAGCGGCTGAACGGCGGAACGTTACAATGTTGCAGAGCAAACCGGCACAGGGGTTTGCGGAAGAGCAGCTCAGATGGCTAGAATATGGCGGAGCTGGAGTCAAACAATTCAACTCCTTAGATTTACCAGACTCGGCTTTATGGCGAAAATGATCGCTGGCAACTTTGTGTAGAAGCGCCCGAGGTTTGCGGTGTTGTGTTGCGTGAAGAATGGCGTTTTTTGTTGTCTCATGCCCACGGCACTGTGGAAGTTATAGCGGAAATGGAAAAGTTGTACGAATGAGTAGTTTAACGAAGCACAGATTGTCGGCTTCAAACCGTCAAAGCTACATTTTTCGACATGGTTTACGTAAAGAGATATATAAGGAGTGTCAGGCGATGTGATAAAAGGCGCAATTAGCGCTTCTAATGCAGTCTTTCCTTCTAGATTTGACTGATTACCGGCCCCGCCTAGTTCTGTTCCTCAGTCGAGGGAAGATGATTATAGTTCATTCAAGAAGAATTGGAGAAAATGAGACTCGGTTTTCTTTCACGGTGGAGTGACTGTCAGATCACGTAGGAATACTTTGCACTCGTGCTTTTAAGGGTTACGGAAAGAATTATATATATAAATGTATATAAATTCATGTTGCATTCCACTTAATAGACCAGAAAACATCACCGGGCCCTTATAGACTCCTAGTTGGATGTGACATTTTGAATATTGTCCTTTGAGAAGGGATATGAAGCTGAAGTCTCTCAAAGAGGTTGTTAAAGAAGATCCCGTGTTGCTTCTCCATGCATTTTTAATGGATTGATCTTTAATGACGGGGCCTTTCTCCAAAGGTGACTTTACACAGGCTGTTCTGAGGTGGCTTTGTGTCTGCTTTAAAGTCTGTGTAGAAAAACCATGTCACATAAATAACTACTAAAATATGCCAGATTCCCCCCAAGCACAGTATCTGCATCTGATACTGCTTTGCTTCTGTGTGAATGAAATGCAGCATCAGTGCAGCCTTAAGGTGCGGTCACATTTACTATTGGTCGGCAATTTTTATGGATGAAATCTAGCCGCTTCAATGGGATTCCACAGGATTGGGACTTTTGTGTGATGGCGAACTGTTTCCTATGCAGATTTCACTCATGTTCAAGTTGGTCACACAAATTGGCCGCACTCACCAAAAGAAAACTGCTTGGTTTGAAAGTGACTTCAGTGTGGGCTATGCTTCATACATGGCTTTGCTGTTGACAATGGACCTTTTTTGCCTATGAAATTTTGCTGAAAATGTGACTGCATATAATATAAATGAATATTTTCATAGTTTATTTATAACTTCACATCATATTTCTATATTCAGAATTTTGTAGCATTCTTTTAACCTTTGCATTATTTTTGTTTAATTCATTAATACCAACTCTGCATTGTGTAAATACACCTTTTTTGTGGTGTATATGCAGCTTCTGTGTTAAATTAGTGTTAAATAGTTCAAAACTCCATTTATTGTGGAATTTGTATAGGTTTATGTTTGCTGCAATATTCATGACAAATTGTGCAACCACCAACCGAGTGAATACCATTTCCTGTTTTTGATGGGGTCTTGAGCAAACACTTGTCATTCCCAATCACGGAATAGTAGGCAGCAATATATCTGTCACTGCCAAAGGCAGATAAGTGTATGGCACCCTTACATTTCCTGTGTCAAAACTGTTTTGCCAGTAACTTCATGTGAAATATGACTAAATGCAGTCATAGCTTTGTTGTTGCTTCTTTTTTTTTTTTGTCCTTATGTCATCAAGTTTGAGTAAAAAAAAAAAAGATTCTGTGTAATTTATAAATGTGTACATACATGTCCAAATTCTCGAATTGAGATACCAAGCTTGTTACCAGTACTTAGCACATTTTTGAAGTAGTGGGTCGGGACGACCCCACCCTAGTGGGGTCTGACCCCGATCCTGTCCCTCCTAGAGCAAGAGGAAGGAAATCCCTGTGATAGTGTGTCCTCTTGAGCACAGAGGAATGCCGGTCTGTAGGCTCTGTTGAAAATAACTAAATGAAGAGATGTGGAGTTCCTTTCAAAGAAGGCCACCCACCGTTTGAACACCCTTTAAAAATCTGGACTGGGTCCTGGAAGAAACGTCTATATTTAGAGCCACGTCACCTATGATGTGTCGATTTCAGGTATCACATTCGTGTAGTTCCTAGTTGTTTTGTATAATTATAGTCGTGATTGTTGCGGTTGACAGTGTGGTTCTTGCTTTGAGCTGTATAGTCACTTCCCAGCACTATTGCAGGAGTCAAACCGTATGCAAACAAACACGGGGTCTGTCAGGGAAGCAAATATCTCTTTGACTTTGTAAATGGCAGTTCTAATACAGCTGTCGGGACTGATTCCTCTGGAGGGCCGTGTCTGAATAACCAGACTGCTAGTCTGAATTACGCTCTGTATTCTTCTAGTGTCACTGTATTATGGGTCTGTAAATGGGTATATGTTTAGGTTAGTGGTTGATTATGGGTTTTCAATTTCCGATCCTTAAACTTTACTTTTTGAGCCCCTGATATTGAATATTGAGTATTGAGGACTGCTACTACGACATTAGTAAGCGCTGTAGTTTCCCACCAAGGCTTTGACATTTGACTAGGAAACAGAATAGCGTTTTGAAGCCAGTGGGTAATGAGATGACAAAACATTAACTGCCAACTGTCGGTAACTTTTTGAGACTTTTAGATGAACCAACTGAGCAGAAAGGAAAGGAGATGCTATGGAGAGGAAGAGCATGACAGTCTGGGGAAAAGAAGGCTGTTGGCGTCCCTCAGCAAATTGGACCACTTCCTCTTTAGGCCAAAGGGCCTCATGAAACCTGGTGGCCCTGTCACGCCTTCCTTCCTCCTTTTAAGTCATGTGATTGTTGTTCAAGTCTAAGCGAGTGTAAAGATCGCTGATGAATGCTGTGGGTTTGATACTGTAAATATGCTTTGTTTTTAGCAGATATCAACTGGATCTCAGTGTAAGAAATCAGAATTGACTGTCAAGTTATTTCCAAGGGTTACTGAGCTAATGTGGTGTATAGCTCAGCTTGACGCTCACGTTTTCTAATGCTAATATCAAAGCAATTCCTCCATCTTTTTCCACACATCATTGTCCTCCTCATTTAAGCATGTAAGCCATGACTGATGGCTGTGGCACCTATTTGTGACTTGCAAGATTGGGGCCTTTTCTGAGTCTATGATCCAGAAATGGACATTATAATGAGGCTTATGATCAAATTGAAGTTCAGATATTTGTTGTTGATATGAATATATATGAAAAGTGGTGTCAGTAATATTTTTTTTTTTTATTCTTGAAAGAAAATGCTACTTTTATTCAGCGAGGATGCATTACATTGATAAAAAGTATCAATTTAGAAAAAGAGCTGCTCACCTCTGAAGATAGTAAAGACATTTATAATGTTACAAAAGATTTATATTTCAAACAAATGCTGTTCTTCATCAAAGAATCCTGAAAAAATGCATCATGATTTCCACAAAAGTATTAAGCAGCACAGTAATGTTTCTTGAGCATCAAAATGATCATGTTACACTGAAGACTGGAGTAATGGCTTCTGAAAATCACAGGAATAAATTCAATTTTAAAATATATTAAAATAGTAAAGAGGTATTTTAAATTGTAATGTTTCACAATATTACTGTGCAATAAATGCAGCAGTGTAAGAGACTTCTCACAAAAACATTAAAGTATTACTGATCCCAAACTTTTGAACAGTAGTGTATGTTATTTTTAAAGACTTTTAAGAGCTGCATGAAATTGGTAAATTATTTTTCAGCCATATTAAATACATTTTTTTTACATTTCATGGCACCATTGTTTTTACCAAAAGAGTAAAAACCTAATTAAAATGAGTGTTTTTGAGCAATGCAATGTACAGTTTGAAAAAAACTCACTGAACTGATTCCCAGCTTTGGTGGCATTTTTACTATTGAGGTATTTGAGATGTTAAAAAAATATATTTTGTCTTTGAGTATTGACACAAGGCCAGTAACAGCCTAAAAAGTAAATATAAATTCATTTAAAAAGCATATACAAATGTTCACAATGTTAGTTTATTTTTATTTTGCACATAAATATTAGATCTACTATGTGTGTGTGTATATTAAAAATGTTCTTCAAACTAAGAAACAAATGGTTCTTGAAAGAACTGTTCAAGGTTCTTTGGAGAACTATAGTGGTTCTTCTGTTGCATCGGTGCTTAAACACACTTTTGGAACATTTATTTTTAAGAGTGTATGAACTGCTGTTTTGATTTCATGGTGCTTTTTTTTCATTTTTTAAGCTTGGTCACCATTCACTGTTATTGTATGAAAAAGAGCAGCATGAACATCCTGCCTAACATCTCTTTTTTTTTTGGTCAGCGAAAGAAAGAAAATAGGTTTTGGAGAATGATATGAGGGTGAGTAAACAGTGACAGAATTTTCATTTTCTGTTTCTGCAAACAGAAATTGAGGCCGCACTGGTTGAGAGGATGTGAGAAAAAGAGCAAATGTTCAGTTTGGTAAATGATTTTAGATGCTTTCTCAGCAGAGTAGGAAGAAGAAAACATCTGATTGTGAACCCGTGATTGCTACTCAATGTTTGTTTTCACTCATTCTCCTTGACAACCTGTAACCTGGGTGAGTTGATTGACTTGCAAATAACACGATGGGATTCAACACCGATTTTGACAGGTCCACTTAAAACGGCATCATTTATCAAAACAAAAGCCTTTTCTATCCGTTACGTGAGCCCCGGGGTCACTGAATCTTTTCAACTTGTTTTTTAATGCTGCTGTAGCTCAGATCAAAAGGTTTAGCATACTAGCATTTTAGACCTTTACATGTTCTTGATCATCAACAGTGTTGTCTCATTCATAAACATTGC